ATTATTAATAATATTAACGACTAAAAATAAAAACATTTATCAATGTCGATTGAAAAACTATAGTGAAAAAAAAGATTGATTGTAATGAGTGACGCACGTACACATATAAATTATTTCAAAAGTGTTTTTAAGTTTTAATTTTATTCCTATTAAGTCAGGGAACAAAATATATAAAAATATTGTACTTATAAAGTAATTTATAAAATATAGGTATACATAAGAATCAATTTATCACAATAATATTTAGAAAAATGAGTTAGGTATAAGTATTATTTCAGGCTTCAGTGTAATTATTTTATAAGTTGTATGTACGAGATAATAGGTATATAAACAAATTGAACATTTGTTGTATAAAGTTAATAAACATTTCATATTTAACACCCAAAAACTGAATTTACTATTCAGTCCCAAACCATTTAAAATAGTCATAATCAGATTTTTTAATTATTTGATATATTAAAGTATATCCTTGAAACTGGGATTATGGAAATTTACTAATTTTTTGTACAGCTGACGAAAAATTATAAAAAAATATTTAAATGATTGATAATCATTATATAAAAATCATAATTTTTGTTTCGATTTTTAGATAGTTTTTAGTTGCCTTAACTGTAAAATTGTTGTACCCATTTGATCAGATGATTACGAAATATGATGAAATTTTAAATATTTTTGATGGAAATTGGTGTAAATCATGGAATCCGTTGTGCTTGTACACAGTGTTTATTTCAGACCTTTTGTCATGGGGTATCGTGAATTTTCAAGGATGTACCTATACTATAGGAGTAAAAATGAAGGGAAGTAAAAATATCGTTTTTAAATTTATTGATATTAGATAGATACTTGTGAATGCATAAAATATTGGAAAAAAAAAACTTTAATTACATTTAGTAATACTAATTAATAATAGTAAATAAATAAAAATAAATAAATAATAATTATTTTCTATTATAACCTTAAGTCATCTTTATTTATTATGTATAATTATATTATTGTTATAATATTTATTTTATAAATCAAACTAAACAAATCTGGCGCTACTTTTGATATGCGTACAAATTATTTACTTCATTTACAGTATCTTCGTTGAGTTTTGAGTGTCAATCTGCACTAATTTTCAGGATTGCAATCTTTCTTGTCCCATTCTACTTCTCGTTTTATTCATAATCCTATTCATCGTAAAAAATAGCGCTCCGCGGTGGTCGTTGAAACTGAGATACACATTAAGCGTACAACCAGTTTTTTCAAATTTGCATACCCAATATTTGCTTTATAATTATATACTTGTATGTATTAATTATAATATGACGGTCATTTTTTACGTTTTCATCTACCAAACTATTTGCGATATACTTAAATTAATTTAGGTCCATTCAAACATTGATTGGCTCAAGACTAGGGAAGTATAAACAAACGTTCAATATATCTTCTTCAATTATTGTGTTTAAAGATTCAAATAATTCATATAAAGCACTTGATTTAATTATTTACAGTGATTTTTTATTAAAATGTGATTGTAGTGAATTAGATAGTTATTTTAGCATCGGAACTTATCGAGAAGTTTGAAAACCATCATTACTATTTTTGAAAACCATATCTGTATTTTCAAAATATCAATTTAGTTGCTATGTGTTTGTGTGTTATTTATTAGACATTTTAACGTATGGTAATGATTTGGGCTGAATTAACTGTCTAATAAATTAATTTTTTCTTTCATTGTTTTGGGCTGAGTTAGGAAGCCATTTGATATTGTTTATAAATAAATTATAATCGTGTTATGTCAGAATATAATAACCTGTATCTGAACAATTAGCGTCAAGCCAGCTGGGTTATAATTAATTAAATAAATTCAAAAATTGAGGAAGAATTTCCGTTCTAATTAGAGTGATGAAAGTAACCAGTCGTAGTTTGAAAATAGTTGAATGGATACCTCTTCTCATATTTTTTTTTTTTTTTTTAATTTTAGTGTTTAAATTCTAAAAATAGTATTTCGAAATAACATAAATAATTATCTTTATTTTTTTATTTTTATTTTTTAATTAAAAAATCAATTTTAATTTTGATTATTTTTCTATTTATTTTAGTAAGTAAATATTTTTATACTACGTCCATAATCAAATTGCCTCAGGCCTACAGGTATCAGGATACTTCTTCTCATTTTTTTCCCAGTGTTAAACGTTTTAATTTTAACATAAACTAAGATTTTACTTTATTTTTAACATTATATTTTTAAAACCAGCAATAATTAAATATTCTATGTTTTGTTAAGTAATATAGTTTAAATTATATTTATTTTTCATTAACTTTTTTTTATATTTTAAATATTAAGAACCAGTATAATAATAAAATAATCTCTGTCGTGTAAATAAATTTTGAAATAATGTACATGAATAATTGTCTTTCAATCAATTCTTAATTGCTCAAGTTAAATACTCTAAATTTTAGTTACAATTGTATTTATGCTTAAGTTAATTAATAATTATACGCCTTTGGGTATCCAGATATCTCTTTTCATTTCTTTTTTAGTATTTTAAATACTCTCTGAGCGTCATAAAATTTATTTCTCATTTTTTAGTTTATTATTTTAATGTTTAATTTTAAATAAAAATAATAAGTATAAGTCTTTTGATTTTATTAATATTTCATTTAGATTATTTAATTTTTTTCAGTTAAATGCAATTGCTTAAAGGGGTCCGTGGTCTCTTCTAATAAACACACCTGTGTGTGACAAATGAATGTGCATACGCGGGAATTTGAATTAAGGTGAGAAAGCACACATGTGAGTGTATTATATGTGTGAGTAAATTAATGTGAGTAGAGTTTCTTGGTGGGTTTTAGGTTTCTAGTGGTTGTGGAGAGAATTCTAGTTGTATGGAAGGGGTCCTAGGACATGTAGGTAAGCTAAAAATTAAGAAGGGTAAGTTTGGAAATGCTATGTAGTATGGAGGGTAATTATATAAAATTTATTTTGGAATACTTGGAATTTGGAAAGGGTATTGCGGTATAGCGATGATGATAGATAAGGATAGGGTAGAGAGGATAAGATATGAAGGGGTTTCTGTTGTTATGAAGGAGTTTCTGGTAGCACGAAGGGTTGGTTTTTAAAGACAGAGAAAATCAATATATTATTTGCAATTCGATCCGTTTTATGTTTATAATAATTAAAGAAAACAAATTAAATTTCTATATTTATTTATATAGTTCAAAATCTATTGGGTATTTTATTCAGAAGTTGTATTCTAGAGAAATGAATTTGTACATGATATTTTATATTATTCACCACATAAAGCGAGTTAACACATATTTGGTTCTAACATAGATTAAATTGTTATATAATATAATAATATAATTATTCATCACATCATGGATATTAACACTAAATAATATTCAGAAAATAATCTTTGACGGTCAATTAATATTTCCCGGAATTCCTATTAGTTATTACCACGATCTATTAATCGTTATTATGTTTTTATCATAAATTTAAAATACAAAATTCTTACCAACTTTTTTTCTTTTATTTTGATAATTTTCTAGATTCCATGAAGATTTGAAAGTAGAAAACCTTCGAAATTCCTATCATTTCTGGACTCTTTAAAAACCGATTACATGTCTAAAATTAATAACATACCTTCTCGACAATGAAAAACAGTTTCTAAACATGAATTTTCTTTTTCAGAGAATAATAATAAACATGACAAAGTCTCTAGTCAACTACGTGATTTAGATGCTCGTAATAAAGAAAATCCTTAGAAATATTAAATTTTTCAACCCTACCTCGGATGAAACTATCCTTTTCCCATTGATATCTAATGTAGATGTCATATATACTGATTTCACTAGAGCTTTCGATAAATCCAAATCTTATTTATAAGATTAAAACAGATAGGTATTTGAATCTTATTTAACCAGGAATACCTCTTTTTTGAATATCTTTAAAAAATTGTAGCTTACAAAGATAATTGGTCTATTCCAATACATTTTACATCAGGAGTTCCTTTGGGGTCCCATTTACTACCAACATTATTTTAAATTTTTATTAATGACATCCATTTCCAAAATTGCACTAAATTAAAATTGATTGATGATATAAAAATATTCCGTATAATTAACAATCAAGTCGAAGCTAATTTAGTTCATGTTGACTTAAACACGTCTATTAACCTGCTCCCCCCCCCCCCAATCGAAAATGTGTAATTTTTTTCATGCGAATAATTAGTACGTAATTTGTATGAATTTGTACAACCATTTTACCACTTTCATTAATTAGCAAAGTGTTATACTAACAAAATAAAAAATATTTTCAGAAGAATTCTGTATGCTTAAAATCTCTTACATCATTATATTCATAATTTTATTATTATTTATACAAAGGCATATTTTAAACACACTATTTCTATTTTAAACATATATTTGTTAGATAATAATGGCGTGGGATAAAAATAGTTATTATATTTATTTTCTAAAGAAATATCCGATAGTATGTATTTTACTTGTATTTATAATATACTTGTATATTACATATAATATTATATAAACTAATAACAGTTTATTTCAATCATTGAGTTGTTCATTAGTGTGTTTAATTTTGGAACTTTGTAGTGGGGCAGTGTTTTTGTAAATGTTTCATTTTGTTTTCTCTTTTGAAAAGTTTTTAGAAATATAATTCTATAAAATAATAATTCGTCAACGATATTATGAACGATATCAGGAAGAAAACCAGCAGTCAATTCTTCTAGGATCATTGACGTTATATTGCACTTCAAAAATCATACCACAGATTTAAATGACAATAAGCATAACTACATACTATATATACAATTTATTTATTACCTTGTTTTATAATAATAAAAGATTATTAATTATTAAAAAATATGAAAAATCACCTTTTTTACTACATATTTCTATTTTTAAATTTTTTGTAATTATTTATATTCAATTTACATACAAACATTTGACTTAAAAATTAAAATTCTACTGACAAGTTTTTATATCATATACATTATTATTTCGCATGAAACTTTAGTAGTTTTTTCGACAAGTATTGGTTTTTTTTTTAGGTCGTCAAAAAACTCCCGATGTTCATTATATCTTTTCACATGTTGACAAAACTGGCCTCTTGAAGACTCCTTATAATTTTAAAGTGTCTTGACAAATGCACTAGTTACCTCCAAAATGAAAGAAAAAGAAAAAAATGACGGACAAGTCGAAAAGGGAAAAATAGAAGTTGAATAGTTGGACGGTGAGTTTGGATTGATTACCATCCTTTTTTTTTTTTTAAAGGAGGGTTTTCCAGATTATAAAGATTCAAAACCCGATCAAAGCAACTGGACAATTTTGTAAACTAAATAAAACAATACAATAGTTGTTCCGTAGTAGATACTCGGGTGTCGATGAGCCGGAGACTCATAACTACTATAGGGGTAGAGTGAGGTTTAAATTAAATGAAAGAAACACAGGCTATAGTGGACTTATGCTGGACACTTTCCGATACTCACACAGAATACTCGAATCGTAAAATTAAGTTAAATGTGAAATAATCGATTGTAGTAAAAACTTGTCTCAAGAAGCTCCATGAAGTTTCCCAGCGGTCGGTGCGAACCTACGACCAACACACTAGTCTGCATTATGGGTAGAAGCCGGGTAACATGATGTTGTGCCAATGATATAAAAGGGAGTATGGAGAGATGGACTTTGGACCAGTCCTTTTAGGATTTGACCTACTTAAAATATCAATGTTGTATTATTTTTGTCTCCATTATTTAAATTGTGTAGTCTGTGCGCATATCAAAATAATCGTTTTTTTTTTTTTTATTATTTAAAAATATTGATACGGTCCCTCGATTTCCGACGTCCCGTGATCGTGAATAATACATAATTATACCACTTGGTTGTTTTTCTTGGTTCTTTTTTTTTTTTTTTTAAATCCGTCGTGTTCAGGTTGATAATAATTTCACAGTGAATACCCAAGGAGACACACCAAGGTGAGAGATTAGATCAATGGTTCTAGAAAGAACCTTTTCTTATCGGTCGCGATGGTAGATCAACCGGAGCGATACAAAAACCGCGTGTAAAACCACTGATAACTGTACGTGAGCTTCAGTATCGGAAAACCGTGTCCCATTGTAGTAATATGAACTTGATCATTAATTGCCACATCGTGTCAACGAGTGTCTTGGCAGCTACGCCTATAAACTCCGTCCATGGTGTAGATAAAAGCGCTATGGTCGTCCGTTGCCGCATTGTATCAACGAGTGTCTTCGCCGCTATGCCGATGGCTCCTGGTGTGGTATTCGATGTCTTGATTCCTTCTGCAGTCGGTGTATCTAGGTTTGAACTGTTTGAAGGATTATTGAAGACTATGTCAATGTTGTTAAATCGTCCGGTATATAAGTAATTTCCTGTACCGACTAGTAAACTATCTGGTCATATCACATCTGTTATAATAATCGTTTTCTTCGGTAGGCCACAATGACGCGGAATAGCATAACGTTCAACGTCCAAACTGGAATGGTAAGTTTTGAAACCTACAATAACTTTCCATAAGATTGATCTGCATTCTGAGTCCAGTTTTTTAATCGTATCAAGTTATTTCGATGGCTCACGCAATAAGTCATTCGTTCCTACAATAGTAATTACGAATTAGAAGTCCAAATATTACATATATTATATTATACCTCTCCTAGGTAAACCGTTCTAATTTATACATGGGACTCGTCTGTTCATCTTCGACTGGAGTTAACTGCACTTTATTTGGAATGATTGACTTTTATCGTGATGTTTTAAACAGTGCTGACGCCTATTTGTTCTAAAAGAATGGCCATAACATATATGTATTATCATTATACGAGTATATTGTGAGCAACAGTTAAACATATAAACAATTATAGATAATAAATAACGATTAATGGTTATACGTGTTTTTCAGAAAAAAAAAAATTTTTTAGAATTAAAAATTTAAATGACGTAAGTTATAGTATATTTTTATTATTTATTTATGAAATAAGAAATTTCAAGCTTTTTTATATCTAGTAATGAAAATACAAAATGTCCAACCATGTAAATATATCATTTTTATTTTCATCTCTTATCCATAAACTGTTATAATTTTCCATTTTTTTCATTGCACAAATTCCAATATAGTCACATCGTATAAGATATTGCTCAAAAAAATGTAGTTAACATACATAAATATCCGATGATTATTATCTGAGTATTAGATATTTCAATTTCTAGACAATGGGTATGAACATATTTTTAGTTATATATTTTTTTGTATATTTATTAACAGTTATAAGTATAAATTATCATTAATAGATTGCTTCTACATAACGCCTTGGATTACTACAATCGTTAAATTCCGATACAACAGTATCTTCTATTCGTATATTATAAATTCGTATCGGTATTCAACGATTGCAGTAATTTAAAGCGTAATGTATAAGCAACCTATTAATAATAATCTATATTTAGAACTGTTAATAAATATACAATCAAATATAATTATAAAAACAATGTTCATACCCCTTGTCTAGAAATCAAAATACCTAATACTCAGATAATAATCATCGGATATTTACGTAGGTTACGTTATGTTATTTTAATAATACCTTACACAATACGACAGTATTAACATGTATATAATGAAGAAATCTGTGAAGTTATTTTTTTTTAACGATCAAGGAGTAAAAATCACAATTATATAAGTATTGTGAAAATTACAATTGAAAAATAACAACGAAAAAAAAAATATTAATTTCTAATATTTTCATGATGGGGTAACAGCTATTATTTTTAAATAAATGTATGTTCTTATTTCGTTCGAGGAAATGTGGATTTTAAAATTATTTATGTAAGGATATGTAATATTTCCTCATATGTGATATGCCAATGGAAATAAAAGGTATTTTCTTTGATACTATTGTACTACGAGACCCATTTTTTGTACCATAGTTCTGCAAGTGCTTTCAGAAGCACAACGCTACGTCGGGAAAATATTCCATCTGCGTCATTTGAAATCCTATCCTTCAGTCTCCTGAGTATTTTTTTCAAACTGTACCCCTGGAATAGTACAAACGCATACGTAATATTTTAATCCGCGATCTATAAAATATAGTTATTCAACTAAGAGCCGTTCAATTACTTGTTCTATTTTTTTCCCGGCCACTTTTAGCAGGCCACAAATATTTTCCAATGTGTTGTTCGACAGTATTTCCGGTACGATTTTTAAAAATTCTTCTAGAATATGGGCTGATAATAAGTTTTCGTTGAATAATTCGCCGATGAATCTTAATTTATTATACATAAATAATTATTAATTTATCTTTCTGATAACTATATAAATCATAAGGCAGTGAGCGACAATTATTACGTGTACGATTGTACGGGCGTAAAATCGTTTTCACTTGGACCTTTCTGAACCCCGGACAGCAATAGCTTGTTACACCGGATCGCGATCTGTTTCTTCAACGAAGTAGGCTTAATGTTTCGCCCTTCTACCGCACCACTTGTTGATACATCCCGCAATGAAGAGCACACGCTTACCAATTCTGGAATAGTTTCGGGATACCTTGTTGCCTGAAACAAATTAAAAAATATTATGTTCATCCTACAGCTGATTTAAAGGAAAATGTAATAAAATTGCATATAAACAATTGTTTTTTTTCCTTTTTAAAAATCAAATAAATAATAATAATAACAATACCCGTTCGAACAGAAAGTCGACTGTTCTTTCCATCACATCCACATTCTTTAGATGTACAGACAACTCATTTATTTTGGTGTTCTTATTGTTCGCAGTTATGGAGTTAATTATCGTTTCAACGGTATTGTAAACTTGTAACTGAAAATATATTAAATTATCTATTTTAAATGGTGTTCAATCATTTATCATAAATAAATAAAAATATATTGAAATACAAAAACTTTATTATAGTACATAATTAGTGAAAATAAATATATTCGTTATTCAACGAAATAAAAATTAAATTTACGAGTTAATATTGATTTAGAATAATGAAATACTGTTTCATCTTCTGTCAATGGTTTATTTCTGATGTCCGATTCTTTTTCGGTTTGGGTATTAATCTATAGAAAACCATATCAATATTTTAGTAGTTTTATTATTAATTAACGGACGGTTCTACGAAAGAAGTCCCTACTTTTGTCTCGTCCGTCGACGGTGACTCATCTACGGGAGGTTGTGGAATGTCGGGATTCATCATCTTCAGCGTGCCTAGGATCATTGACCGTAAGCCCAGTGAAAATGTTGTCTTGTGCGTATTTGAGTATTCCCACAGCTTCTCCAACACGCCACTCTACAATTGTATTGTTAACACATGATTAATATAAACGTATTCAACGTATTATGTTGGGGTAGTTAAGTTTTATTTGGAATACGATTTAAAATTAATGATTTTACGGTCTGGCGAAACTTACATGATTTACCGTACTCCCAACGTGTTGCAGTATGATACATACGCATTCCAAAGATAATTCTTTTTTACTCTCTATTAGTTTCGCCAAACACATTTCTAGTATCGGTGGTACCGAGATGTTCAAATTTAGAAGTTCACATATGAATCTGGAAGCAATACGGTCACAATTTTTATAACTATTTGATAAATTATCAGATGTAGTAAGTTGTTACCTGCAGTTCGCCACTGAACGCTTTCTATGATCTATTTCATTTTTATCGAATTTCGATTTCAGTTCATTCCTAGTTTTCTGTAACGATACACATAAATATATGTTTATGAAACTTATCCCATAATATAATAAATCAACGAGATAACATTGTTGTTTATTGAATCTCTAATAGTATGTAATTTATACTTTGTTTTTGCAAGATTCAATTTCAATCCGTTCTTTAGTCAAAATACGTTTTCGGTTGTACATCGACTCGAACGTCTCTTGGCACTTGTTTATCAAAAGTTTCCTAAACGAAATAGTTTTCTTGGAGTCTTCCGACTGAATCTCTTTGTTTTTCATAGCCGAACAAATGTGAACGTATTGCGGTATCAATTCTGGTTTTTCTAGAGCCTTTTAAAAATATTAAACTATGTTTGAATAGTCTCAAAATAATATGTTGAACTAACATAAAGTATAGTATGATATGATCGCATGCATATTTTTTGGGTGAAAAAAAAAATAGAAAATATATACCTTATGAAACAAATCTTCAACAACACTTATTAGGCAATCATTCGTTTTAATCGGCAATAAAGTAATACTTTTCGCTGACGAAATCATATTTTTTGTTGTAATGTTGTCGAGAATGGTTCGAAATTCTTCCCGGACCGCCTAATCGAATAATAATAATAATAATAATAATATTTATTTAAATTAAATACATATTTAACACCCCAAAAGGTAAGAGTATAGTATGTGTAACTAAATATCGCTAAATTAAGAATAATTAAATACAATTGATTTAAATTAAATATCCATTTATAAATTATAAACACAAGTTTTTAATTTATAACAGTAGTCGAAATAATTATTAAATAAATAATTAGTCCGGCGGTGCACCGGACTATTAGTAAGTTATTTCTATACTATCTTTATCTATACAATTCTTTTTTTGTAGTAATTCAGGATAGTCGATAACACCATTCAGAATTGTATACATAATCATGATATCATATACTAATCTTCGAGTTTTAAGCGGTTTTAAACCTACATAGTTTGCAATTTCAACAGTGTTATTATACGGATAGTTAGTTTTAAAAGCGTAAAAACGTAAAACATTATTTTGTATTTTTTCTAATTTATTTAAAATCAATTATCTAATAACCCCAAGAGTTTTGGAATTATATTACGAAAATAAATCACGGTCCAACTGATATAATTTACTTGTACTCCAGTATTTTCGTTTTTCAATCTTTGGTAACTATCTGCGTTACTGGTCTCATATCTTATAAATGGCAATACTGATGTGTTTTCGTCCCTTACTGCTTCACTAACCCTCATTGCTGATGATGAATTATTAAAACCGCTTATATTTGCGCCTTTTTTCAAATCGTTATGTTTACGTTCATCGTCCTAAAAAAAAGAGAAAAATGTATTATTTTACTATCCGAAATACTAAAATCTTGGTTAACATTTTAGATTTATATAAATTAAAACAATCATTTACCTTTTGAGTTTCGGTTAGCGGTTTTACTTTTAACGCGTAATTTGGCTGATAAGCGAATCTCTAATAAAAAGACGATATAATTATATTAGCATAATATATTTTATAATACAATTCAACTAAATAATTTTCAAATGAAAAATATAATTTTTTTACCATTGGAAATTCTGCAGGTTTGTATTGGACATACGTGGATGGCTTATATTCAGGTTTTTTTACGTTTGTAAGCACTTTGTTGGTGCATATTGCCGGTTTGGTACGAGCATTCCGCGGTACCCAATTGTTATCTTTTAATTCTATGATGTTTAATATCATAAACCTTATTCTGGTAGAAATCTTAGTTTTATACTCTGAAGATGTATATTCTTTTAATTTTCCGAACACAACTTTCTATAATTACATAACATATGATATTACAGTGTTTGATTGCAATGGCATTTTTAGACAAGAACGTTTATTGTATATAAAAATAATTCAACTCGAACCGTTATATTACAGATATTATGAGATGATTCTTACAGTGTTTAATGTGCTCCCTGCGTGCTTTAATATGTTACAGACACATTCCAATGATTCTTCATTCGGCGATTTCAGGAGGTGATCAATACACGCTTCCAGTGTGCCGTTCGAAAGTATTTTCACTTTGAATAGTTCGCACATGAACCTGAAAAGTAATTGATATCGTTTTAAACCATTAAGATTCATTTTATTCTTATTCCATTAGTCAGTACCGGCAATTTCCTACAGACTTTTTTCTGTGGACCAATTCGTCCTGGTCGTAAGCAGACTGCAGTTGGTTTTTGACTTCCTGAAAAATTACGATCGAATTGCATAATATACTTGTCGTAAATTGAAGCATAGGTAATATTGTAGATTTTTAAATTCGATTTGTTTGCTTTACTTGATCATTGCATCGGCTTATCTCCTCGAGGGTTTTTACCATATTCTGTTCGTGGACGTACATTATTTCGAATCTGTTCCTACAACACTTTGTTAATAACTTTTTAAAGGACGTTTTCGCCGCTTTTTTTTCCGATTTCACCTTTCTGTCCTCCAATGCAGTACAAATGTACGCGTACTGAGGGGTGAAATTGGGTTCAACGATCGCCTATTGTTTGAAAATAAAATATGAAAATTGTTTATTGCCAAGGCGTGATCTGGCGATTCACACGACATTTAATCGTCAAAAAACGTGTGCATATGTCATTTATATCTTGAATTTCCGAAATACCTTTTGAAACAACAGATCGATGACGGTCTTTAGCTGTTCGTCAGTATCTAATGGCAGTGTCGTAATGCTCTCTGCCAACTGAGTCATGTTTTCCGGTGATATCTTGTTCAGAATCGACATAAATTTTTTCTGGATTTCCTTTTGTGACAAAAAATGTTGTAGAAATCATGTAGATATTCGTGCATAAATGTACAAAAAATATCAAATGTTCAATGTGAGCAGTTGTCCATCTCGCGTTATCATCGGGAAGACTTTTCTATTGAACACGTAATCTATATTTACCTCTGTGCTGTTATCATCTGTTGAATCACTTGCAATTTTTCTTTTTATGCATGGTGGTGCCCATGCGTTCTCACACGTTTTAAGTTTAACGTCGTCATTTTTAGATAGAGAGTAGTTTACTACTCTCCAACTCGTTTTTGCCGCGTTTCGGTTCGCATTGTTTGCAGACGGCATATTAGTCTAAAATAAATTATTTTCTCAGTCAAAATACATGTATAAATAATGTAATTCGGTCACCGTTACCGGTCTTCCGGTTTGATATGCTGAACGTTGACCGAATGCCTCTGGGAACGATGACTGCTCCGAATACATGGCCCTGCGTCCGTACAGGGGTCTCTGATGAATATTGTCATCAGTTCCCATTTTTCTCGCGGCTTCAGAGTCTATATTTCAATTGCACACGAAAAACGATGATGTATACCTTCACAATGATAATTATTTCATATAAATCAATATATTATTATTTACCGTTGGTTTTTGCGAAAGTGTTCATACTTGAATGTGAGTTAAGTTAGTTTAATTAAAGTACCAAAATGAAATAGTCGAATTTCAGTCCGTTCAAATCAATTACTGAATCAATAGTGTTAAAACGCTTAGACGTTAGTAACACGTGAACTTCGCATAGCAACCGAAGAAGCAATATGAATACGGAATTGACCAGTATTTTTCAAACCAAAAACTATTATTATCATTACAGAATAATAAAATACGTATTCAATTAATGATCCGGATACTCTCCAGGTATACGAAAATCAAATTTATTGGTTGGAAAAACAATTGGTTTAAAAATAAAGAATTTGTGTGACATATATCAAATGTACGTACCTATGCTAACTAATGAACTAATGGAATAAGATTATTAAATTTTGATTTAATGTTTTACCAAAGTGTAAAACAAATAAGATTTTTAATTTTGGTTTTCGTTATAGCGAAATTGAAAATTGTTGTGAAATCAACTCATTAAAAAACCACTACAAAAAATATTGGAAAACACTTAAATGATAATACATCAAACATTACAGTACAGATATAATTGCATTATAAATTAAAATCCAAGTGATGTTTTTCTTTTCCAACATTTATGCGCTTAAACATCATCGCGCTATATTTCCAAAAAATCAAATAAATTTGAATTGAGTTTTTGATGTATCTACGATTTTTTGAATAATTAGTTCATGATAATGTAACTCTTGCAAAACAAATCTCTGAATAATGTGCACCATGTTAGAGAAAGAAATGTAGTCAAATGCAATCATCTGATGATCCGGTATGAGGTCGTAAGTAGAAACCAAAAAATATATAGGTCGTGACTAGTCGCTTTGAAGGTTTTTTTCGGGCATACGAATAGATCGTTCTTGGAAGTAACCATAAGTGACGGACTTATGGTATAATGCGATATCACCATGTGAATAATGTAATTCACAAAGTTGTACTTGGAAAAAATTAATTTTTACTCGAAAATTGCTCATTACTCTTCTCAACAAAAAAAGTTTTCGATTTTCGAGTAGGTGATATTATTAAATATTTCAAAATTGAATGGTTTTAAATTATGATTTGATGTTAAATTTTTCTGCTTTAATGAATCGTACATACTTTACCACAAATATTAATCTTATTTTGTTTACAGTGCGTAAACATCGGAGTTGCTTATCACTTAGTTAATATCATAAAGGCGTAGATGAAAATAAATATTTGTGAAACGAACATTTAATTTTAACATATTTATCTTTACATGTTATTTTCTAGTTTCGGATATTATATTTGATCCAGTTCTTTGGTAAAAATTTGCATGCATGGATTGTAATTATTTTATAGTTCCGTTTATACAAACTAGGTAGTCTTGTTTTATGAATTTATGTTTGTTTATGTTTTATTCTCGTTAGCATAAAATGAAGTAGGTCTAACCTAAATATTGAATTCGGTGATTCTTTCGGATGAATGAAATTAAATGACTAAATTTTAAATTATATTTGTAACAATTAGTACTCCAGCATTCCATTTCTAATTAAAATTCATACAGTAATATCGTATAAGAACACATTTGACCAATGGTAATGTACTGAGGGAAGATCAATTATTCAAAAAAAAAAAAGGTCTTCAGCGACATCTACAAAAACCAATGGAAATCCACTCGATATTATTCAATCATGGACAGCCCTTTAACCATTTATTCCGTATTACTTTTTCTACTACCATGAAAGATCAAGACGTGGTGTTTGGAATTAATGAAATGTGTAAAACAAATTCTTTAGATAAAAATACCTATAGTCCAGCTCACGAAAAGTGAACGTTGATATCAGCGATCCCCGTGGCCGTTTTCAACAAGTGATTATTAAACCCGTTTGCCGCGTTTTTTTAAATTGTTCATACCACTATACAACATATACATTACAATAATATTAAACACATTTATGGATGTTACAATTAGGAAAAGATGCATAAACTATTTTAAATACCGATATTAAACATTTAATTTCCAAAAAGAATCACAATTTAATCATACGAAAAATTTTTAAGAAACACAAATATAAAATAATTTAAATTAAAGTAGGTATATACATATTACACAAATAAATTATATGTCGTCTTCCTCATCGTCGTCATCACTACTGCTGTCACCTGGTCACATGGAATATATTATCAATGCAGCTTCTAATTTGTAAGAGAACACACGTGAGCAGTGGCGTAGCCAAGGGGGGGAGGCTATAGCCCCCCCTCATGGGCCATGTTTATATGTATAATTTATTTTGACTATTTAATAGAATCAATGGATGCTCGTTTTAATCAAAGGCTTATTGATGTTATGCCACCTGAAGGACTTATTCCGGCAAATTTAAATATGTATGTAAAAATATTATAAAAACTGCTAAAATATATGTCCAAGATCTCCATGATGATACCTCATCTACAATCAGAGCTGACCTGTTCATATGGAGGCAACAATAGAGTCAAAATACTATTCCAAAACCAAATTCTGCTCTTGATTCACTCTCTCATCGCACCAATCTTCGACCTAACATTAAAATACCTTTACAATTATTCTCCACGTTACCAGTTACCTCTTTCACTCCGGAAAGAACGTTTTCAGCATTTAATTGCTTAAAAAAATTTTTAAGAAGCACCATGTCGGAAAACAGACTGAATGGGTTAGCTATGGCTAATATAAATTAAAAAGAGCAATTCGATGAAAGTGAAATAATAACTGAATTTGCCAGAAATTCGCCTAAGAGGATGCAGCTGTCAGAGTGGAGCAAGTGACCGAACACTGAAACCAAAATTATTATTATTATTATTATAAATTATATATCAATAAATATTTTTAAAACTATACTAAAATGCTTGAATTACGTTTAGAAACTTGGTGGTAGATGGTGGGGGGTTAAGGGTCAATTCTCATATTCTCTCTTACTTTACTTATCCAAAAAAAGTGGTTAGCCCCCCCTCCCATTTAAAAATCCTGGCTACGCCACTGGTGTTTGGTACCTATTTATTGAAAAGTATTGTTATCAGCCATTGAAATCTAGAACAAACTCGATGTTTAGATGGATTATTCAGATAATAATATTGAAACAATTTTAAAACCAATCTGGACTTACAGTCTTCAACTTTGGGGTACAGCCAAGAAATCGAATCTAAACAAAATCCAAACTTATCAGTATATCACTCTACATCAACTCACTAATCCTTCGCCATAGATTTCAAATCTAATACTCTACAACGATTTACATGTTAAAACGATCGAAGAGGAATCTGTATTATTTTATAAGCGATTTTTCTCATGTCTGGCAAACCATAATAACCCACTAATCAATGACTTAGGTAACTTAATACTTCTTGATAATCCTCGCTGTCGACTGAAAAGGAGATGGTTTAGAGATCTTTTACAATAAGTCACTCATACTCTTCCTCTCTCAGAAAAAAAAATTAAATAAATAAAAATATAAAAATAAAAATATATATTACCTTTTCTTACCAAATCTCCTATCACGCAAAAAGTCACTAATGGGTGACTTAATAATTACGCATACTATGTTTTCTATCTCTTTTCACTTATACTTATTACGCTAAGAAGTATAGATTGTATAATTATTATAAAAATAAAAAAAAAATATAAAAACTATTTCATTGCAAATCTTGATTTTTTTACATTTTTTTATGCTTATTATGACGTTTTATCGAGCATATTTTAAACTTATATAAAACACATTTCAATTCTTATAGCATGAATATCCGCCCTTTAGTTATAATCAAATTTTATAAATATAACCATTTTAACAAAATATCAAGAGTTTAATGAAAAATACAAAATAAAATTAAAATTAAAATAAAATATAATACAAAATAAAAATTAATTTACAATTAATTTAATAAATTGTGTACAAGTAATAAATATTATAATTTGATTTATAAGTATATATTTTTTTTAAATTTCATCGAGCAATATTAAATAAAAACGGTTAAATAGTATTTAAACTATTTCAATACCACAATTAGTAAAATAATGTATAATAATTTGTATTTTTCCGTATTTTCGAAATAACTTATTTTATCCATATATTTGCTTTAAAAAATATTATTCTCAAAAAACGGAACATCTATAAAAATCCAAAATTAACGAAGAATTTATGTCATATTTAAAACCTGTGGTATATCAACTGAATCAACTAAATCCACCGCTCTTTATAAAATGTATGATATATAAACAATACTTTCACTTTTTAACGTTAATAAATAACAGATAATGACATTTTCCTGAGTCCAAGTAGTTTCAAAATTTGATTATAATCTTAATAGTGAAACATTACAACGGACTATGGAGTCTATTTAAGCTTATTATTGGTTTTGATCCTGTACTAAAACTTTACTGTTATATTATCGATATTGTTAAAAGATATATATATATATATATATATATATATATATATATACTAGCTGACCCGACAAATGTTGTTTTGTCATATAAATTATTTCTAGAAAATATTTTGCTAGAAAAAAATAACTAATTTAATATAAGTGTGTAAGGATCTGGTACATAAGTGGAAGAGGTATGGAGTACTGTAAATGGGGACGAAATATAAAAATGAAAAAACATCAAACATATATTTTTTTAGTAATTTATTAAAATTGATCCATTAAAATTATATATATCGCTAATTATGACAATATTAGTAAAAAACAATATCTATCCATTAATGCAACAGAGTGTACACTATTTTTTGCTATCCCATCCTTCGCCAAACAAACTGGATGGTTCGAGAGCACGCTACGTATAATTGTCCGTGTGAAAAACATGATATCAAATTTAAGCCACAGACAGACATCGTTTGGCTTTGAGACTTATTGATAGTCATTGCAAATGCCAATCTAATTGGAAATTAAAGGCGTTTAAATTATATTGGTACATCTGTGGGTAT